AAAAAAAAAAAAAAAAAGATCAGATGACTATAAGAGACTGGTTTCATCTCTTGGTTTTCTATTCAATTCCATATGTCTATGTCTCTGTTTTTATGAAAATACCATGCTGTTTTGATCACTGTGGACTTGTAATATTGCTGAAAGTATGGTAGAGTGAGGTCTCCAGCTTTGTTTTTATTACTTGAAATTGCCTTGGCTATACAGTATTTTTTCTCGTTCCATACGAAAATGAAGATCTATTTTTTTTCCAGTTCTTCAAAGTATTATGTTGGTATTTTAATGGGGATTGCATTGAATCTGTAGATTGCTTTGGGTAGTATAGACATTTTAATTATGTTGATTCTTCCCAGCCATGAGCACAGTATATTCTTCCATTTGTTGATATCTTATTTCTTTTCTTAGGGTTTCATAATTCTCTTTGTTGAGGTTCTTCACCTCTTTTGTTAAGTATATTCATATGTATTTCATTTTCTTTGAAGTTACTGTGAAGTGAATTGTGTTTCTGATTAGCTGCTTGACTTGGCTATTATAGGCATATACAAAGGGTCCTGATTTGTATACACTGATTTTGTTCTTTGATATATTACTGTATTTCTTGATCACTTCCAGGAGTTTTGTGGTTGAGTCTTTGGGGTTCTTTAAGTATAAGATCATATTATTGGCAAAGAGCGAGAGTTTGACTTCCTCTGCCCCCATCTGGATGCCCTTTAGATCCTTCTCGTGCCTGAAGGCATTGGCTAGAACTTATAGCACCACGTTGAATAGTAGTTGGTGATAGTGAACACCCTTGTCTAGTTCCAGTTCTAAGTGGAAAAATTTTCAGTTTTACTCCACTTAGTATGGTATTAACTATGAGTTTGTAGTAGATGGCTTCAATTGGTTTTAGAAAAGTGCCACCTATACCTTAAGTATTCTTGTTAGATAAGGATGCTGAATTTTTTTTGTTTGTTTTTGAGACAGAGCCTCAAGCTGTCCCCCTGGGTAGTGCTGTGGCATTGCAGCTCACAGCAACCTCCAACGCCTGGGCTCAAGCGAGTCTCCTGCCTCTGCTTCCCAAGTAGCTGGGACCACAGGCGCCTGCCACAACGCCTGGCCATTTTTTGGTTGCAGCCATCACTGTTGCTTGGCAGGCCCGGGCTGGATTCGAACCCGCCACCTTAAGTGTATGTGGCTGGCACCTTAGCCACTTGAGCCACAGGTGCCGAGCCAGGATACTGAATTTTATCAAATGCTTTTTCTGCATCTATTGAGAGGATCATATGATCTTTAGTTTTGCTTCTATTGATATGGAAATTACATTTATGGATTTACATATGTTAAACCAGCCTTGCATCCTTGGGATGCAACCTAGTTGATTATGATGTATAATTTTTTTAATGTGTAGCTGCAATCTATTGACTAGAATTTTATTCAGTATATTCATTAGTAAAATTCTATAGTTCTCCTTTTTGGGTCCTTTCCTGGTTTTGGTATTAGGGTGATGTTTACTTCATAGAACATGTTGGGGAAGTTTCCTTCCTTCTCAATGTTTTGGCATAGTTTCTGCAGCATAGGTACAAGCTCTTCTTTGAAGGTTTGATAAAATTCTTGTGTGAAGCCATCTGGTCCAGGGCTTTTTTGGTGTTGTTGTTAGAAGATTTGTTATTGTTTCTTGATCGAAGTGCTTGATATTGATCTGTTCAAGAGTTCTATTTCTTCTTAAGTCTAGGGAGAGGGTGTGATTTCAGGTATTGGTCCATTTCCTCCACATTATTAAATTTCTGGGCATAGAGTTTCTTGTAGTAGTCAGACATAATCTCTTGTATCTCTGCAGTATCTATTGTTATTTCCCCTATCCCCCCCCTTTTTTGAGACAGAGTCTCACTTTGTCACCCCCAGTTGCGTGCTGTGGTGTAATAGCTCACAGCAACCTCAGACTCTTGGGCTCAAGCAATTCTCTTGCCTCAGCCTCCTGAGTAGCTGGGGCTGCAGGCACCTGCCACAACACCTGGCTATCTTTAGAGACAGGGTCTCACTCTAGCTCAGGTTGGTCTCAAACTTGTGAGTTTAGGCAATCTGCCCAGCTCAGCCTCCCAGAGTGCTGGGATTACTTGTGTGGGCCACTGCACAGGCCTATTCCTGTTTTTCATTTCTGATTGAGGTTATTAGAGATTTTTTTTGTTTCTAGTTAATATGGTCAAAGGTTTATCAATTTTATTTATCTTTTTAAAGAACCAACTTTTTTGTTTCATTAGTTTTCTGAATGAT